AGGGGGGAGGGGGCGGCGGGAAAAAAAGAAAACAAAAAGCAGTAGTACATACATTGATAGATTATCAAAAATGGGATAGGAAGTTGGATCTTTCCTGTATCTACTCTAGCAAAGGCAGATGACTCAAAGAGCATCCAATTTCACCTCTCCAAAGAAAAGCAACAACCTAGTCATACTAAATCCCTCTCCCAAGGTTTTCCCATAGAATGTTACCAAATACTTGCATGGAAATAATAAAAATGTAGTCCCAAGAGAAAGTAGGACTAGGCCTTTCTGCTCTTACCGGAGATTTCAAAAACCATAAGTAGTATCTTACAACGATAATGGATTTTAACCCTAGAGAAATAAAGGCAATAAACCAAAACTCTGGTCCAAGCTACAAACAAAAATGATCGAACTGTTTCTCCTGGGAGTTGACTCCATTTCCTCCATCAGTGTGCTCATGTCAGATCTACTGTAGCGCTGCCTAACAGTTAAAATACTAGAAAATTCTTTAATAAGCCAAGGCAATTTTCTCCTGTGAATCCTAGACCTTCTAATAAATATGAACTCACTTGTGCTTCTGGAAAATATTAAGTTGGTACACCTTCAAATAAAGTCAGTATTTTTACTGTCCATTTCCAAACTTCATGTCTCAAAATCAGTTTCTACAGTCACAGTATTCTCCCAAATGGCTGAACGTACATGCCAATATACTTCTGAACTCACCCTCACCTGACACCCCCAACTACTTTACTTTAAACTAATTTTGCAAAGTCTCTCTGTTTTTGAAAGAATCTAAAAAAAAAAAAAATCTTAATAGTTACATGAAGCACCTTGAGAAATCCCCCTTTCAGATGCAAAGTATTGATCTAATTTGACATTTAACTTTTTTTAGTATTTTAGAGAGTTCTGTGGATTGCTGGTAATACTGATGAAGCAATGACCAACTGGGGGGGGACGTACTTCTGCCTCCAATCCACCCATTTTACACCTGTACATGAGATATATTAAACCACATAGTCACCATTAGCTATATGCTCTCCTTCATCTCTGCCAGAGTCAAAGAATTCACCACAAATATCAAGAGAACTAGTGATCAAACCTTATTAGAATGATTGTTTCAAATGTTTGCTCTCACCCAGATGTCTCAAATGTTTATTTTGCCATACCTCTTCAGCAATATTTAAACAAAGAGTCTATAAAATATAAAATCTTAGTAGAAAATGCAACAGAAATTTTTCATTACAAGTCTAAGCGTAATTACTGTAAGCAGTAAGTCTCTTGATAAAATGCAGGTTCTATCATCAACATTATGCTAATTTCTTGATAAATTATCCAATAAAATCCCCAAAATAAAAGTTTTAAATGTTAAAATCTACTTCTCCCTTAAAAGAAGATCAGACATACTTTCTGTTAATTATTTTACCTTATAAATTTGAGGAATGACAATGTAGTAGTGTTTGTGCTGTTCGCCATTAAAATTCTGTAGTTGTGCAGCATATTCATTTTTGTTTTCATCAGCCATATGTGTGCGCAGGTTTAACTGTTGCTTAGCCTAGTAGGAAAGTGTTATCATTTCAAACATGTCTTGTGCTTTTCAATGATACACAGCATTATTTTATCTATTTTACCAACTATGCAAAAACACTAATCACAAGTCATCGAAACTGACATCCTTATAATTGAAATAAAAAGAATGTGAGACTTCATATATACTGACAGTCTACAGACCTAATTTGTTATATATAGAGAGAGCAATGATCATTTCAGCTCCCTTAGCCATGTCGCTTAAATGCATATCCTAAAAAACATAGAAGTGACTGAACATATATACGACAAGATACCAAATACCAGTAAGCCTGCCTGTTTAAGGAAGATAGTCATCATCTCGAGACTAAATGAAGCATACTCCCTCTCTGTGCTGTCTTATATTTTACTGGAACTTTTATTTTTCACATAATAAGCAAGCATATTTTATACACAATTTTATACACTCAAAGAATGTTGTCCCAGTACTGATGATAAACATGCAAATAAAATGCTTTTTATAATAAAGAGAGAGTAAAGAAAGAAATGGCACCGCTCTTACCTTCTCAACATCAGCCTTTGTCGCGTTAGTGTCGTTGTCCAGCCTCTCATAGCTTTGCTGTGCCTTCTCTGCCTCTCTGCATTCTCTCTCAAATTTCTTTTTGCTCTACAAAAGCCACAAACTTACTGCTTCAACAGCCACTATCCCCTTTTGGTTTTGTACAGTAATTTTGAATTCTAAATATCAAAGCTTCCATTTAAATCTCTTAAATTTACTAAGTACCTTTAGGTAAATACATTGTTCTCACAGCAACCAAGTCTCAAAAATTTTCAACTTTTCTATTTAAAACTTATTTCCTTGAAGTACCAGCAAGGAAACAACTGTAATTATGCTATAAAATATCAGATAATCAAAATACAAAATAACCTACTACAAAGATCTGCAGTTAATTATAGACAGACAAGTCCACTTTCTAGCCTGACTTCAATAACCTAAATAAAAGTTAGGGGGCAGAAAATTTAAACCTAGACTTGTATGAGTAAAATTTTCAAGTTCCCTTCTTCAGCGATCAATTTTAATTGAATAAATTCAACTAAATTATTTTGAAGGTAGTCTGAAGGATTTATCTCCATTATGAGATCTTAGCATACCCATCCATTATCATCAGCATTCATATCAACTGGCGAAGCTGTAAGCAGCACAGACAACAGTATTCAATGTACTTGATGTTCAATACATCCGGCAGCTGTCAAGACAACTACTATAGGAAAAACCGTTGCAGCTCAAGAAGTTAGTACCTCTAGAGACAAACTGGCAACAGAGCTCCTGTGAGCACTGCTCTCCTGCTTCAGTGCAAAGTCAGGCAATTGAGGTTAATGCGTCCATTAAAGGCTGTATGCATTTAAAAGACTGACTCTTTGCACTCAAGTAAATACAGTGCACGCAACACAACTGACTGTTTGCGGAGAACTCTGGGAATTATCTTGGTGAAGGGTGATAGCATCTAAAACTATCACATCTGCTTCTACTCTGATCCTCTGCCCATGAATTAAACTCTTTGACATGACACTGAAGCAAGACATTGCTTATCTGGATCCACAACAACAAAACAGAAATTCACCTCTCCAGTATTGCTTCACAATAATCTGGATCAAAGATATAATAAATTTCTAAGACACAAAACCAGCAGAATATCAGAATGCATCTTGAACACACTTGGTTGAATTTTATCTTTTCCCATCTTTAAAAGCATCTCTCAAGAAAAAGGAGCTAATAAACTGTTCTAGAGAAATTCACTTCCTGCATTTCTCTGTAAAAAAGTAATTCTACCTCCTGAAAGTATAATAGTCTATAGGGGTACTCTTGAATAGACCTCATGTAACAAACCCTCAAACTCAAGTCAAATACAGTGACTTAAGATTTCATCTTCATATAAATAAATTGTCATTATTAATTACTCTCTAAACAAAAAGTAGCCTGCAGAGAAGCAACCAAAGTCATCTGTACCCATATTAAAAACAGATTCCTTTATGCTGGATAAAAGCCAAGTTTTAAAGAAGGAACTACAAATACATTGAACGGTATTTTGGATGTTACTACGTCTGATTTGGACATTCAATAATATAGCTAAACATTAAAGTCTAAGCAAGCAAGATGACAAAAGTTCCATTTACAGACTATATATTAGTAAGTTTGATAGAAAAAAAAGCCAAAACACAAACTCACATTATCCATCTGTTTCCAGCACATGTCCAGATACTGTTGAGCCTTTCTCCCCTCCTGAAGATGCTAAAACCACCACAAATAAGTTTAATTTACCTGTCTTTTTAGTAGTACTACCATTAGTTAGTCCCTGCTCTACTTGACACACTATGATGTGCACTATCTCCCACAAGTTACCAGTACTCTTTGGAGTTACCAGTACTCTTTGGAGGACATTACTAATCATATAAGAACAGTACCACAGATGAAAATCACACTGGCAGAAAAGTTACTAGTAAGCATTATCTCCCAAGACCTTAATTTTTAGATTTAGTAACTGTAGTAAACCAGTATATAAAAATACAGAATAACTTTAAATACGTGTTTTATAAATGTATTACAAAACCTACTTATTGCCATGTTCATTAAATTGGGTAAACAAATACATCAATTCATTCAAAGACATATCCATTTTGATATCCTATTATCAAATCAAAATATAGAAATTACCATTTTTCTCTCAGTTTTTAGATCATGAGAATATCTCATCAATTCTCCGTACACTCTGTGTCCCATTTCTTCTGCAACTACTTCTCGTTGTCCTGCATAGTCATTCAACTCATTAAGGATGTTAAAAAAGGCAATACACGAAGTAAACCTGACAGAAAGCACACACGCACAAACATACATATACAAAAAGTGAGACAGTTTTTTTAAATTGACTTCTTTTAGTATAGATCGTACTCCTGATTAAATAATAATAAAAAAAAAATCATACATATTTTGCAATAAACCTTATCTTAATGCTAACTGAATTATAGTAGAAATGCAAGTTGGGAAAGCCTACATTAAGCCTAGCATGTACATAGAGCCTAGAGACATATGTTGCAATGTCTCTTCAAATACATTTTATAAGAATATGGATTTTTGTGGATGGAAAAGAAAGAAGAAGAATACTACCTGGAAAGCCCTGTAGTATAGTGGTATCTCCTAAGCTGCCAACTGAGAGGCCTGAGCTTGGGAACGGATACATACGTCCCTAGGCTCGGAGGCTGAACTTGCTGCAGAGATGATGTGCTTGGTAGTCTTGAGGGTGGAACATGCCAATCATACCACTCATATGCATCCCGATGGATGATCTACAGAACAAGTTTGCTATCAGCTCTGGAGACAGCTGCCTGTTTGCCTGCCCACCTCTTGGCTGGAAGTAAGGTGCCACTATGGCTGGCACTGAAAAGGGGGTAAGAGGAGGGGCAAAGGGTAGAAAGTGTGTGTGGAAGGGAAGAAAGAAAAAAAAAAAAACCAACAACAAAAAAAAAACAGGCACCACATTAAAATATACATCTTTCTCTCTTTTAACTGCGGAATACTGCCATCTCCATAGGCTTGGCTCTGGGGAATTCAAATGCCACTATAGCACTAGAAATCCCATTCCCTGTGGTCCAGGATCTTTAAATAGTCAAAAGAGCTAGAGGAAATCCTAGTGTGGATTCTCAGGCACTGTGTGCGCAGCACGTGTTCTGGCTGCAACCTCAAACTTGCCCACTTTCTTTCCTTCGTAAGAGTTAATCCTAAAGAAAAAAAATACTGTGTTTTTCTAAATAAATTAAAAAATGGCTATGGACGTGGACATCAAAACAAGCACACCTCTGATAAATAATCATAAAGTTATTTAGCACAAATTGCTCCTCCATAGTTAGACATTCACTTATTTTGTCTCTGGAGTCAAAGCAAGCCAGCAGTTTAAGAGCTCTTCTTGCCAAAAACATGACAATTTTGTGTACGCTCAAGTCTCACCATACAAATGTATAGCTACATTTGTATTGCCATACAAATGCACTGAAAAACTCTAGTAAACTAAGCAAAAAAAACACAGCCTGAGGACATGTAATTGCTTTTCTATTAAAAAAAAATACTTACTGGCTTTCTACTAAAAAAAAAAATACTAGACTGTACATAACATACTAAACTTCTGCTTTCAAACTTTCAGCTAGCTAAAGATTAATTTGGAACGGAGCAAGTACAATCTGCCATGTTTACTACTTCAAAATACTAATAGAAGTAAACTCAGGTTTCATGCTTAAGAATTACGGCAGAACTATAAGAAGCCAAGCAGAATTATTTTGTTGTCTTAGCCAATTAAATACTTTATCTTAAAAAAAAAAGAAAAAAAAACAACCATAAAAGGACTGAGTATACTGTAATCCTCATTTCTTACACATAGAACTTGAAATGCACATTTTTACCTGGGTTCCTCATCTTTGGGTGAACGTTTAGGACAGTACTTCTTAACCAGATTTCTATTAAGGAAGAACGAAAAAAAGATGCTATTTTAGAGTCTCTTTGGAGAAGAGAAGACATACACGTAGAAAACTGCATGGACAAATTATTTCTTTTTAATGACTTCAAGGAACAAATCTATTCCCTCTGTCATCTTAGAAGAGTCCTTTAGATAACACAAGGCAGAAATCTATGGCATTTTCGAAGTTTTAAGTCACTTTGACCTAAAACAATATATTTGTAACTATTTGAAAACCTCTATTGCACAGTGACTAGACATAAAATAATGAGTTATTTAAAATCCTTTTCACACATGCAAAAGAAGCTAACAGACAAGAAAAAAGCAAACGTATGATCAATGTGTAAGGTATAGATAGCGCACACTGTATGCTCCATGCACAAAACTCCATGCCTGAATTAAGCTTTGAGTGTACGTTCACGTCAAAGGTTTTGACCACAGTACCTCCAAATATTCAATAAGGATATTTCCAGAACAGAAGAGGCAACATCTCTTTTCAGGAAAGATGTTACATTTTGCCCTACCACCCGTTTTGTAAATATCAGGTTTTTAAAAACCAAGAAAACCTCTGAAGGACAACCCATGGGACCAGCACTTTACACAGTATCACAGTCCAATTTCCAGGAACACTGAAATGAACTCATTTGCTTTTCATACAATGCAGAAACAGCACCTTAAGAAACATACAAACCACATCACCTAGTCTACCCTAGAGTATAAATAACACAGGCATACACTGCTTACACAAACAACCGCAAAATATTTGTAGTTACATATATTGCTACTAATATCCCAAATCCAGTGATGAATATGAAATGAAGCCACACAATTTTATAGACAGGAGGGATAAGAGGAGAGAACGTCCAGTGATTTTTTGAATTCTTATCTTCCTGTACATCAACCTTTGCTTTAAACTTCTGAGTACCCATTTTTTCCAGCAAAGCACTCTGCCTTGACTTACAATACTGTTTTTCTGATAGCAATGAGGTCTTTTAAAATTCTTGAAATTCGAAAGGATACATGTTGTCAATCTTGAAAAAAAATCCGTAATTTCCTTCTCATTTTTAGTATCTGGATGTTAATACCTTCAATTGGTTGCATTTTTTATTCTAGCAATTTTCCAAATTGTAAGGTTTTTTCCATGAAACAGAAAAATTTAAATTATAAAACTCTACTACAGTTCTGTTCCTTTCCCTGTGAGTTTGTCATTTTACAGCAAATAAAGAATCCTTTTTTGTATGAAAAAGAAACAGGTAAGACACAGGATTTTTCCTCAAATTGCTTACCCTCAACCTTTGTGCTTTTTGAGATCAAAGAAGCAAAACATCTCAGTTGCTGTGTATTTTTAAAAGCAGCAAACAGTATTTAAAGAGAGATCTATTACTCAAATTAAATAGACCAGTATTTAAATACCAATGCCCATCTTCACAAAAATTCTCGTATTTTCTAAACATTAGAACCACTTCATCAAAACCTTGCTAGTATGTTTAAACTGTGGACCAGATTGCCTGTTATGATATGTCTCATTTAAACTATCAAAGTAATATTTTTAAGTGTGAATTAACATCTCAGCAGAAAATAATGCATGCCAATTATTTGCTTTACAACCCATAAATAGAAGCAACACAATGCTGGTAATTTTTTTCCTTGTACATCTCTAAATAATTACATCTTCCATTTAAGAACAAAGAAAACCCCAAACAACAAAACAAGTGCACACAATAGAATCATTTTGTTCAAGAGACAGAGTGTTTGCCTTGAGCTTGTCAGGGAAGACTTCTCAAAGTGTGTTCTTGAGGTGGACTTGGATTATGCAAAGAATGCTTCTACTTTTTAACTGGTATGAAATAGACTTCATTCAAACTTCTGTATTATATAAAGGGATGACATTTTGTAATGAAACTATTTTACACATCCACCCAAAGAAGAAACTAAGTATAAAACAATGCAAACCTAGCAGAGCTGCTTTAACAGTCGTCTTTTAATTGGCCTCTGGATATAATTCTTCCAATCTGTCTGTCCAGTAGTAATGGAGACAAATGGCTGTTGACTTCTTAGACTAATTATTAATATAGCCCAAAACAATTTCCCCAAAAGCAGCGAAGAAGTGGACTATATAAAGCAATCTACACCTCCAATGCTACAAAAAAAAGGAGAGGAGGAATAAGAGAAGATTCTATGAAACAAAATCTTGCACGCATGTTTTGTGTCTCATTAGCACCGTCCGTGTGTTAACTTCAGTTGTTACAAACTATGAACTACCTTATCATTAAAACAAGGGTACTAATCCTGCTTTCGTCTAAAATAACCTTGTGCAATTCCTCAAATCAATTTATTTGGGAGTCATATTATCTCTACAGTACAAGGGTACAAGTAGTGAGACTATGTTCATTCATGAAGTATATACCAAAATATGAGCAGGGAGTCTGTGTGGAAATAGCAAGCTTAGACCCTTTGTCTCTTTCCATACCCTCAGAGACTACAACCAGCAAGAACAACCATGGTAAGATAGTCAAGTCCTTCTTACATCAATATGTACTAAGAAACAGAATAAACACTGACTTTTTAAAAAGTATCTACAAATTTTATAAGAACTTTCTCACTGAAGTTAAAACAAGACTCTCTTTTCGCTATCACCAGAATCCACTGCCTGTGGTAACACTCTACTTGGTAGGGATTAAACGCAGACATTTTGATTGGAAAATGCATAAACCCAAGCAAAAGAAAAAAAAGAATAATCTTCTTTGCTAAGTAACTCCCATGTTTCATTTTCCCTTACATTTCTGCTTTGCTCCTCAGTGCTTTTTAACGAATGAGAAACTCCTAAAATTCACCTTATTATTATTCAGCAGGTGAAATGCGTAACAAGCATACAATGCTGTAGCTAAGCAACTACGCACGAGCCTTTTCAAGTGAAGATTTTCAGAGGTGTTAAAAATGAGAAAAGAAACCACTTACTAAAAAACATACAGTTTGAAGTGGCAGGAAAGAAGGGTCACAAATACAGATTATTTACTAGCATGCTGATTTCTCTTCTGGTTTCCTTTTTTACTGCAACTGTTTACTATTTCTAGGAAGACAAAAATATTATATAATTCCTTCTCCTAGTAAAAGTCCGTTTCATTAGTCAATCTTGTCTACCTTAAGGTCACAGGAACACACAGTTTTGAGACACTGTGTGATCAGGCTTTAGGGTTCAGTAACAGCACAAAGTGCAATAATCAAAGTCAGTAAATATGAAACAACAAGCAAATGCAGAATTTAAAGTTCAAAGAAAAAGCCAGTGTTCATGGGAACAATGAAGCATAAACAGCTTTTCCAACAAGTGAACACCAACTTAGAAAAAACAGAGAAATTAGATTTAAATCTTTGAAAAAACACAGCCAGTTAACACTTTAAGGGGGCATAATGTTCTTTAACACTAACGTATGTCTAATCTTCAGGATCCAAATATGGATCTGGACTAGTTTAAAAGAAAACTACATAAGTAATTGCAGACCATCAGAACTGAACCAAATCTACAGGATAAATTGCTCTATACTTCCTTAGAAAAGTGTAGATTGATGACACTTTAATCCTCTGGAAGTACAATTTAGACTACTTCTACCACACTGTCTTACAGTCATCTAGAAGCAGATTTCATACAGGACTAACCACACCCAATTATGCTGCTCCTGTAATTTTATCAACCTCTCTTCTCAGTATAAATTGGTCTCACGTCAACACCAGTGAGATACCAGCCTGGACTATATTACTGATTTTTAAGAGACATAGTACCTCAGTCACATAGCGAGAAGTTTCAAAAAGCACCCTAGTTAATAAATTAAAATTTATAGTCACGGACATAAAACGCCTACATAAAATTTTACAGACATTTGTACAAAAATTATCAACTCAAAAGTAAGTCTTTTTCAGTCAATTAATATAAAACGTAAAGAGCGGGAGCAGCATCATCAATATGGTACAATTTGTATTAAGGTAGCAGCTCAGGTGGCATCTGCTTACACTAAACCTCTACAGCCTCTATATCATATTACAAACAAACTGGGAACAAATTTTGAAGTCTGCTTTCATAGGTTACTAAAAAAACCGCAGTAAGTACTTAAAGGCATTTCATATTTATATGTAAAGTAATACTTTCAATAGGGTTCTGATGGCTTCAGTGACTGCATATCAATATCATGGACTGGGTGAAAACAGTGGCAATGAACTATATTTAGTAATATGTTATCAGAAAAAGTTTTAACTGAAGAGATGAACCTTAAAAAATAGTAACATGGAATTTGAGTTTACAAAGCTGAATATCCTTGGAACCATTAAGAATTCGTAAGTTTTGGCTTGCAGAAACATCATTATTAAAAAAAAAACCTGCCACATCCATATTTGTAAAATAATCAACAGCGTGAATTCTTAGCTCTAATCAAAGGAAGAGAGATTTGAGAAATGAACACATATGGTCATAATTTGTGTCCCCAACTCCACATTTGAGCTTAAACTCATTTTAAATAATGTTTCAAGATTCTGCATATAAAAATGTGGTAACTATGTCTCAATTTGATTAGACATATGCATATATTAATACTGTATTTAGAAAAAAAACCACTTATACACCATAGTATGCAGAAGGAAAATGAAAAATACATTTGCTCAGATTAACTAGACATCTCCAGAGATCACAACGTACAAATTTTAAGGGAAACACTCAAATAGTTCAAGAACAATCATCGCTATTTTCTTTAAACAGACAATAGAGAAGCTGACCAAATTCAGAAATCTTACTCCTGGTAGTTTCATCTGTAACTGCAGGTATAACTTGTATTAGTGCCTAACATCACAGGAAGTGGAACTCCTCTGTCTTCTCAAGTGTCATAATGCTTCAGACAGAACAAAAAGGGAGTGAACCTCCAGAATTATTTTGTGTGTGATGATGTGGAAGTAAACAAAACAGACCTTCACCTCACCCCTTTTAAGCAACAATGCTGATCAAAAACAGCATCTAAGAATTCAATTACAAAATTCAGCTAAGAGCCCAGTGATTTGACACATACTAAATCCATTTTTTTCCAATTATAAAATAAGAACAAATTAAACAGACATCTAATTAATATGAAATCTGTTAATCTACAATGTATACTGCAATATATTTGTCCTGATTCACATCCTTGTAACTCATTAACAGCCTATAATAACCTTCACAATCCTTGGGGTACCACAACACATTAGTTGAGACCTAAGCTACACAAAACTTAAGATTTTCCTTTAAGTTAGCTCAAAAAAATGAAATTACAGTTGCTTTTTTTCAGAACAAAGTATATTGCAGACAAAGACAAGACAAACTCTCTAGACAGTTTTTTTTCTCCGCAGACATCTGAGGATTCCTCAATGGTTTCAGTTTTTCTTAATACTTTTTCTCAGCATCAGGAACTGCCTATCAAAGAAGAATAGCAAGGAATGACTTGCAACCTAAAAACAGCATTTGGACATTCTCACAAGTTATAATTTCTGGCATTACTCAGCGACCATAACTGCAATAACTGCATACAGTAAGAATATAGTGAGTTCACTCAAACAGTTCCTCATATGCTGTACATGCATCACTTGTCATCTCCTAGAAGACTCGGAACAGCTGTTGCACCTGGGAAAGTCTCATCACTAAGTTGGTGACAGCATTAAAAAAAAGTCAAAATGCAAGGGTATACACAAAGTGAATATGAATTTCTGCCAGGACACGGATTCTAATTTGTGAAAACTGTTATGAAAAAGTCACTCAAGTTTTCATCCTTGGGTTTAAGTCTATGAGAATAAGATCCATCAACAATCTCAACAGAACGTTCACGGCCCACACTGAAACCAAGACAGAAAAAAAATACCACCAATACATCACTAGCATTATCTCCCTCCTTAAACTTGTTTTTTCTTGGTCTCCCATCCAAGTACTAAGAGAGCCGTAGAACTACCAAGAGGTGACCACTCACCATACTGTTTATACATCTACTAATAAAGGGCATAATAAATCTCAGTTATAAAGCTCATTACGAAGAGATTCTCAACACACTATTTTTCAGATTGTATTTCATTACAAAAGGAAAAAACAATTATAAACTAAAAATTTCTATCAGATAGATCAGTATCTATCTCATAGGCCATATGCTGCCAGCATTAGAATTCACCAGAACCGTAGTCTGTCCCCAAGATCTACTCTCTCAGAACTTCTCAGGAGCAGGCTGCAGGATGGCTAACTCTTCTGGAGGTGAAAATTTTGCTTGACCTCAATCTCCCCTGGGGCCTCATGACTGTTTTACATTGTTAAAAACAGTGAGTGTCCTCAAGAGCAATGATGGCTGAAATCAAGTTGTTATCACAAGACAGTTCACTACTAACAATCAGTTCTGCCCCAAGGAATAGACAGGCAAGAATATCTAAGAGTGGCTTCATGAACTGGTCTACTGGCAGAAAATCAGTCACCCTCTCATGTGTGTGCTGTCCAGACCCTTGTTGGCAGGAAGTGCATGCATGCACTGTACAACACAAGTGCAGCAAGACCTGTGCTTCCCAAAACTGTCATACTTACGGCACATGGACAGTCAGTCCAGTCATCTGACTGGAAAGGGTGCTCAACATACTTTTTCCTTTTTGAAAAATACTTTGAGAAAAATCAATAGTTTTACCCAAAAGAGTAAAATGCTGAACAGAGATTTCCTATTTTTAGTCAAATCCTGAAATAATAATGTGGTGCCTTCATCTTGCCAGCTGTGGAATGAACCTTTAAATATAATTAAGCAAAACAGCATTTGTTCACACCATTTAAGGAAAAGATCTGGATAGATCCATGCAAATAAAACACATTTCCATTTTTAAACAGACAACTAAAACGAAATCAAAACTGGGCTGCGAACTGGTGCTGTGCATGCTTCAAACTTTCCTTTATCTCCTGAAGTTCTTCTACGCCAACTTTGGAAAAGTGGTATTTATTTCCTTCCCTTTAAGAAAAACATTCCTTCAGTAAAGTAATGGGGTATTATGTTACGTGAATATACACAACTGGATCAAAAGAAACTGAAAGAAATCAAAAAGGAAATGAGCAGCCTAGACAGAGAACATCCATACCCTCAGCTGTGAACTTCATTACTGCATTTATGAGGAAGGATTCCTCAACTCTGTATCTAGTGACCATCTAGTCTGCCAATGATGAGACGATGAAAGACACCACAGGAGAGAAGCTACTATCAGTTTCAGTTTGACAACAGCTAGGCAGCAGCTTCAGCTGAATCCCCAAAAGAATTCAAAACAGCAAAGATAACAGTGAAGGCCAAGTTCACAGGAGTGTCTTATTTTAAATCTTGTTCTTCAAGCACTGAGTGCACCTTTTGGTAAAAATCAATCCTACTTTCTTCTGAAGAACGTGCTTCTCTGCCATTTTATTGCTGCTACTCTTCTGTATGATCCTTGTACAATCCCTGAGGTGAAATTCCTACTGGACCTCAAAGATGTTTCACTTGGCACCAATATAAAGTAAACTGGAGAGGTAAGACAAAGGGTGGTTGGGTTACAGTCTCACCCAAAGGGACAAGACCAGCTTCGGAAAGGGTACGCTTTGAGGACAGGAAGATCTGCTGCTTTCTCAAGTTTTACTCAATAATTTCAATCAGATTTCTTAGCACAATGTAGTGTAGCTCTTGCCAATTCAACATGAGAAATTAATTAGTAGCAGAGGCTTGAAGCTGGTTGAACACACAGACAAAAATGTAGATACGGATAACGCGCTTTGCAACAAACATGCTGATAGTCAGTGGAAAAATATTACTACAGTTTTGTTTTGTATCTTAAAATTTAAGTCTTAAACCTTTTTAGTTCAAAGATTTGAAGGGTGGATGGGAAGACAGCGAGGGAAGAAGGCAAAAACAAGCAAACAAGTAAGTGCACAATTTTCTGTTTTGGACTTGTAAAGAAAAACTTGTCTGTCATGAAAAGAACTATGATCTAATTCACTCTGTAAATGAAAAATGGTCATTAATCACAACATTACATACTTGCTCGTCATCTGATACAGTGATTTTAAGTAACTGTTAAGATTCCTTTAAAAAGAAAAAGAAAAAATCCTTACCTCAGTTGTTTTGCATAGTTTTGCTCAATTTCTATCCTTTCTTTTACAAATTTTGCATATTTCTCCAAGAAGTCAATGCCCCACTGTGTATGCTTGTCCAAGTTATCAAACTGATCCTTTAAAAACAAAAGGAAACAAAAATACCCAGAATTAGTTAAGAATCACAGCAGCACCAGAAACGACATATTACTTATTTATGAGTTGTGCTGTCAGAGAATGCTTCCTACTTAGATGGAAGTTATTCAAGTTATAAACCAGTCGTGTATAAAAATATCTACATATATACACACCAGCCATATACCAGAACATATGCTGTATGTGCAGGCACAGATCTACCTCTTTCTGTAAAAAGAATTCTAAATACTTGCATTTTAAGTTGTACACAGTCTTTGCTTACTTTCACAATGCAAATGTGTCTTTTTTTTTTCCTCCTAAAAATTCTTTAATTCAAAAGTGGATCTTTTCCACCAAGATAACGAAGACATAATCAAAGATCAGTATTAGGTAAATAAGAGACTGTTCAAAAAAGATGTGTTGGCAGTTTTAAAACACAAGAAATTGTAATTTCATTGGATACAAAAAATTACTTCCACTCTTACGACTACCCACTGAAAGAAAAATAATATAAATTATAGCTGCATGACTAAGTTGGGTGTAGTCTGCATAAGAAAAACATTTATTAAAGCAAATCTATATACACAGTTCATGATCAGCTCTAGCAAGAGATTCCAAAGAAAGCAAACCTGTCCTTAGCCATTAAGAAAGTTATAGCAAAGCAAAGGCACAAAACAAAGAAGAGAAACAGTCAAAAATAAACCACACATCCAAAAAAAGTTGCGTTTTTTTTAATACATTAAATCATCTTCAAAACCAATCCTTCACTGTATTCTGTACTGATCAAGAGGGAGGACACACTCATTAGGACAAGTTGAAAATTCAAAAAACAAATGGAAATATGGGGGCTAGGAATTAGGCAGGAATGAATAAAGATACAAAATGCAGCCTAGCAAATACTTTTAGTCCAGCACATATTTGTATTTTATGCTAAAAAATCTGCCACAGTGGAAAAATCGAGGATTTTCAGCTTACGACAACAGTTACAGTAAATTTTTCTTAACAGTTACTTAGTAATCCAAAAAGACAACCAACTGCAACATCAAAGTTTGTGTCCTGTACATGCTGAATTCAAATACACTTCATGGTAAATTTAAAAAATAAAAAGTAGAAAAAGAAAAAATAGCTAAAGAAAGCAGTTAAAGGCAAAGTTTATTTAACTTACACAAAAAACTGTGAGGGGTGTTTATCAGAAGCTGTGTCTTGCAGATTCAGTAACTTGCCTGAACCTAATGAATTATGTTGACCTTTAGTATTAGCAATTTAAGTTCAATTTCAACATGCAGTAGGATGATTTGAAGTTAAATCAAAAAATGCCATAAAATGCTGGAGGGCTTAAGACTCAAGGAAAATGTATTCACTAAAAGAGATTCCAAGACAACACAACTACATACAAGCAACAAGAATAATAAAGAAGAACATAACGGGATTAAGGTTGCTCTCAAATCGTGCCTTGCAGCTCTTAGTATCCTACGCCATGGACTAACAACCATGGCCATTAGTGCCTTGAACACTTCAATCCAATGGCATACAAGTACTGCCAACCAAAAGCACCCATCCTGTTCCACTACCAGCCATGTGCTCCTGCCTGTGCATCACTCTCCACCACGAACACAACCACTTTCCCTGATCTGTTTCACCAGAGAACCATACAAACAGCCACGAGACAGGAGAGGGACTAAAGACAAGATTTTAATATACTTGGGAAACCATGGCCTGTATCTGATATTGTTCTGATGCACCCACTTTACACCAACTGGACATTTCTACACTAAATATGTCAAATAAAGTGACGTTCCTGCTATTGTTTTCAAAAAAGTTGCACATGCATTGTTTGTGTGTGTGAAGGAGACAGTTACCATACTGTAGTGTCAAACACTGTTGCATATATGCATAAAAATACATCATCAATCTCAAGAAGCCTTTCTTTTTTATATTCCACTCATTTTTGTAATTACTCTGACAACAGTAACCTGGCATCCAAAAGAAGTTTCCAAAAGGTGCTTTTGGCATGGAGCCAACATCCAATACCATTAAGAAGAACTGACTTCCTTCAGTGCACAGCAGAACAAAGTCTTTGCTGTCCTACTTAGGCTCTTTAGTCCACAAAGCTCTTGTTTGCTGCGAAGGTTTCATTAGCATTACGGAACACCACATTACTTATGTTTCCAAACATGTAACCAGAGAGGATGGTTTTCCAAATATTTTGTTCAAACAAAAAAGGACTCTACTGGTCAAAATTAACTCTCTGCTACTAATATGAAACTGGAATGGAAAAAAGTGAGTACATTTGACATGCTATTCTCCCCTTATGCTTTACTAGAAGTATTTCATCACTGGCTGAGTGCCAAAAACTCTTCCTTTCCTCAATTCCTCTTCTTCACCTGATTCTAGAAACAGTATCCTCTGTGCAAAGACAGGTTTGTAGGATTATCCCATAGCCCCTCAAGGGAAGAAAGCATACATTCCCTCCCCATACAAGGAACATGCATAGAACATACACAGAACAACCTGAATGGAGTAAATCCCGTGTAAGAAAAAAATTAACACCCATTAGCTATCCTCACCACTCTGCAGACCTTTACATTAGTCCAGCTCCTCCACCATTACTGATATCTATGAAACTATTCATGGATGCATCGATGATCTCCTAGATAAGGAATGGAAATCCTAATTTAGTGAGCCATTAGTCCACATTTACTGGAATTAAAAAAGAAAGTAATAGTACATTCCCACTCTTTTGAAGAGTGAGGCAGCTTCACAACATCAGTTTATTCACTGCCATTTTTTGGTCAGCAATTATATTATGCACTATCTTAGAATGAAGCATACAGTGTGAAGGATAAAAAATACTTTCAAGAAGTGCCAAAACTTTTTGAAAACTGGCTTTTGAATGACCAAAGTTGGATGCCTAAAAAAAAACCCTAAAAAAATCTAAAGATTATTTGTAGATTTATGTTCAAAATAAAAACACTATAATAAACTCTTACATAAACATTGATTCCTTGGATTAAATTGGACATACTGACGATGTCTCTTAAGTTCTCTATAAAAGTCATGTATGTACTGTAGAACAGAGCTCTCAACGGATAAAGAAAATATATTAAGCAAACGCATCAGCTTCACAATTTTTCAAATTCTCTGTAAACAATAAACCAGTGAATGAAAGTCCACAGTCACAAAAATCACCTTACACTGTTCAATAATGACACCGAGATAAATGAGCAAAAGACAAAGGCAACATCAGTGAATAAGCACAAAGGAATGGCCTTTTCAGAAAGGCTTCTAGAGGTGAGTCACAAATTTACTCTTGGTCCCTTCAACTTCTCTCCAGAAGCATCCACGTTTGAGCTCTGGGCCTCGATTAAGCAAAAAGTTTCCTTTTCATCCAGGAACACAAGCAGAAAATCTTCCACATTGCTACAAAGGAAATCAAATTAATGCACTGAGATACAAGCCAAGCCAAGTGATATCTTGAATGGAAAAAATCAGGCAATACTGTAGAGAGGAGAAAATGGACCAAATAGTTGCAATAAAATTTAAGCCTGGAATTTCAAAATAAATACATCAGTGTATTAACTTGGCTGGCTCCTTTATAAGAAATGTGAAAATTGCATTAACTAAAGACCAGCAAAAGGCAATTAAAAAAAAAAAACCTGCACATCCTACAATATCTGGCTATCTACTACCTTGATAGCAAAGTATGTTCTCAACAATATTCCAAGGCAAATATATATTGCTGTTCGTCTAGTAACTCCCCCACATCCCTTAGCAGCTGAGCAGGCAATTTTTGTAAAAAAACTTTATTAGAACTGCAGCTGACTATTATTAAACTGACTAATATCAGCTAAGGGATGATGGCCCTAAGTAGAAACTGCCCACTCAAAAGCTGGAATGTAGCCCAAAGTCTCTACATTATAAACAAACAAATCTGACACTTCACAAAAAGTTTGTAGTAGGTCCATATAAACTATTCCCAAAGAAATGTTACCTCCTTAAATTCTACTTCCAGATTATTTACTGGAACCACAGATCAATGTTATGAATACTTATCAGTTATTTGCAGATACCAGGAAGGTTTACAATAATAGCAGCTGAAGCATCAAAGCAAGGAGCCAAGCTGAATCAAATCTGCACCAAAGACAAAACAGCCTTTCCTGGGTTAAACTCAAGATTTGCTCTCCCCCTCGTACAGACACCTGTTTTTTTCCCCAAACAAGCCTCAAGAACTATTAAAAACATGGAGGATCTCTTCAGACAGATGAGCATGGAGGGAATACTACAGCATAAATACTGAACCACTTAGTCTTCCTGAAACTATCAGTCGCTAGTCCAGACACTGCTTTATATGGGAGTTTCAAATAAAAGGCATTAAACCAGACTGAGATTTTTAAAGGGTTAACGTTCCAAGCTTTCATCAACTTTGGAAAGCATTTCTACTTGCATTAAAAGCTAGGATAGTGGTATCAAATTCTGTAAAAAAGTTTTCCGTTTTACTAAATGATTAGTCTCCATTTCACTGACCTCCCTTTTGATGATCTCCAGACAACGCAGTTGAAAGTCTTAAGAATCATATTAAACACAGAACTACATCAACTTACAAGTTTAAGCAATTAACTACAATAATTAAATCTGCAAATCTTTTAACTATTTTAATAAAATATTTTATTTGAAATCATGACACTTTGCATTAATTATGCTACCATAATTTTATTCTCTTTTGACTCAATTGTACATCATTATTTCCATACTTTTATCTGACCACAATTTTAGTCTGCAGTTACCCAAGTGATCTTATCTGCAGTTTTGAAGCACTGGCATAAGATTAGCTTTTTTCCCAATTCTTTGTTCTCCAGGCTGCATAGCTTGGCCAGTCTAAACTTCCAGTTCAGTGGGTGGGAGATTAAAAGCTCAATCCCATATTTTGCTCTCCAAATTCTCAACATTTATGCAGTCCAGTATAAGGAAATACACACTATGCCCTAACAAGATTCCACAAAGA